GAAGAAGTTACAATGGACACCACAGAAGTACAAAGGATTATATGAGAATATTATGAAAGGATATACACCACCAAGTTTGATAACCTAGAAGTAATGGACAAATTCTCAGGAATCCACAACCTTCCTAGACTAAATTATGAAGAATTGGAAAACCAGTGCAAGATGGCAGGCAGCGTAGATGGACACTGAGCTTGCCCCCTCCTAAGAACACATTGAATGTACACCTACAGTGAAAGCTATTCCGCTGAAAGACAACTGTGAGCCAATTGAATAACTTATGCACAACAAGCAGGAGAAAGAGAGAAAGTGAGTGAAAGAGCGAGAGAGGAAGCAAGAGAGAATATAGAGAAGGTTGGAGGACTACAGGAACTCTCTGAGAGCTGAGGGAACAACCTAGGACTGGTGAAGCCACTGTTTACATTTACCTTGCATGTGTATAGTGGCCAAAAGCTCCATCTAGGTTCTCTGACCAACCTGCAGGGCACTGTAGTGCATCCCCAGACACTCTTCCCATACGTATATCCAGCTGAAACAGGAGGGCCCTATAGCATATATGCAAGAAGCTGCTACACCAAAGGATTGATCCAAAAGGTATAGCAGGATGCTGCTTTATGCACTCACTAAACTGTGCTTGCACACAGGGCTCCCACACCTGGAGAGAGTGTGGAGCTAGCAAAATGCTATGGTGCCCATCTGTAGGGCTACCTTTTCCAGAGAAAGTGCACAGATAGTGAGGCACTACTGTGTGCTCACGCGCAGCTGCCCCCTAGGAGAAAGGGTGGAGCTACCAAAACACTGTGGTAAACACACAGGACCCATCCAGAAAAACTGCAGAGATAGTGGGGCACTGCTGCTCACACATGTGGGGCTGCCCTTCCCAAAGAAGTGTGGAGCTAGTAAAACTTTGCAGTACCAACATTCAGGGCTGCTCCATGCAGAGTGAGCGGAATGCTGCAGTACACTAGCTGAAGGCTGCCCCTCCTGGAATGGGTGCATAACTAGCAAAGTATGACCATGCACTTTCACAATACTGCCCAACAAAGAGGAAGGGCGGAGCTAATAAGGAGTTGAAATCCAAGCATTCAGAGCAGCCCTGCCCAGATCCTGCTCTGATAACAAACAATTAAAGAAACAGGGCATACCAAGCATGCACTCAGCAGCCCTGTCTACACCAGGCAGCTCTACTCAGATTAGAAGGGCAGGAAGCATGCACTTCAGGCTATCCTACCCAGAACCCACTCCTTCAGACCAGACTGTACACCAGGCACCACACACACCCACTTTGACTACAGCCATCCTGCCCAAACTATTTGACACACAGTCAGTCTACACAGAAGCCACACTGTCAAGACTGGGAGAGAGAGCTATTTCATCCAACTCACAGGAACAAACACAGAAAGTCAAATGGGGAGACAGAAGAATAAGCCCCAAATGAAGGAACAAAAAAATCTCCAGAGGGAAACCCTAATTAAATGGATATAAGTAATTTGCCTGATAAAGAATTCAAAGAAATAGTCATAAGGCTGTTCATCAAATTTGATAGTAGAATAGAGGAACTTAGAGAGCTCTTCAACAAAGAGATAGAAAATGTAATACCTGATCAGAGATGAAGAATACAATAACTGGAATGAAGACTATATTAGAAGAAATCAAGATCAGATTAGTTAATACAGAACAGATTACCAACCAGGGAGACAGAATAGTGGAAATCACCCAATCAGAATAGCAACTGAACAAAGAATTCTAAAAACTAAAGATAGTATAACAAGATCTCTGGGATAACATCAAGATTCCTAATACTTGCATTACAGGGATTCCAGAAGGAGAAGAGAGAAAGAAAGGGGTGGAAAGAATATTTGAAGAAATAATGGCTGAAAATTTTCCTAGTCTGGGAAGGAAATCCAGGTCCAGGAAGCACAGAGAGTCTCAAACAAGATGAACCCAAAGAGGTCCACACCAAGACACGTCATAATTAAAATGCCAAAGTTTAAAGACAGATAATTTTTAAAGCAGCAAAAGAAAAGCAGTCAGTTACCTATAAGGTAGCTCTCATAAAACTGTCAGCTGATTTCTCAACAGAAACTTTGCCTATCAGAAAGTATTGGCATGAAATATTCAAAGTGATGAAAAGCAAGGACTTACAACCCAGCTATCATTTAGAATCAAAGGACAGAAAAAGAGATTTCTAGATAAGAAAAGGCTAAAGGAGTTCATCAGCACCAAACTGGTATTACAAGAAATATTAGACTTCTTTAAGAAGAAGAAGAAAAGATCAAAAATGTGAATAATTAAATGGCAATAACTACATATCTATCACAATTACTTCAAATGTAAATGGATTAAATGCTTCAATCAAAAGACATAGGCTGGCTGAATGGATAAGAAAAAAAGACCCTTACATATGGTGCCTATAAGATACTCACTTCAAATTGAAAGACACACAGATTGAAAATGAAAGAATGAAAAAGATGTTTCATGAAAATGGAAACAAATGAAAATCTGGGGGGCGGCAATACTCATACTAGACAAAATAGACCTTCAAACAGGCTTTCACAACAAACAAAATAGGACCAGTAATCCCACTTGTGGGTACTTATCTGAAGAAACTTAAAACACTACTTCAAAGGGACATGTGCATCCATTTGTTCATTGTGGCATTATTTACAATAGCCAAGGTATGGAGGCAACCTAGGTGTCCATCAATGGATGAACAGATTAAAAAAAAAAGAGGTAGTACATACATACAATTGAAGATTACTTAGCCATGAAAAAGAACGAAATCCAGCCATCCACAACAACATAGATGGACCTAGAGGGTATTGTGCTGAGTGGAGTAAGTCAGGTAGTAAGAGACCAATGTCATATGATTTCACTTATATGTGGAATCTAAAAAACAGGATAAATGAATGATCAAAACATAGACAAGCTCATACGTGCTGAGAGCATTTTGATGGTTGCTAAACTGGGTGGGGGTAGGGCTAGGGAAATGGTTGAAGCGGGGAAGGGGATTAAGAGGTAAAAATTAGTAGTTAAAATAGTCATGGGGATGTAAAATATAATATGGGTGATACAGTCAGTAGTATAATAACTATGTATGGTGTAAGATGGGTACTGGATTTATCAGGTGATCACTTCATAAGTTATATAAATGTCTAATCACCATGCTGCATACCTGAAAATAATATGATATTGTATGTTAACTGTAATTGAAAAACAAAAATATATATTTTTTAATAAGTTAAACTGTAAAAGTGAAAAAAAAGTATGATATTAGACTCAATTATTTCAGTATATAAACCTTGTAATCAACTGATTGCCAAAAGAAAATTTAAATACTACGCATTGATTAAATCATGTCTTTCATGATTCACGTTAGTGGGAAAAAAATGCTTCAAATTAGTTGAATGAAGGATACTTGTATACTTTAATCACAGGTTGCTGTTACTTGATTTATTTCTTGATGGTTTCAGAAAACTCTAGAATGATGCTATCTATTTGTCTCTGAAGGGAAATATATAGCATTTCTAGCCCATGTTTGTTTTCCTGTTGAAAGTGAGAATGTCTGGCTCAGGATATTCAGTAAATGTAATGTCGTTAATAAAACTCACCTCTATACTAATAGTCTTTTTAAACAATGCTTTTAATTACTAGAACATTTGGTTTCCTTTTTGCTTCTGTTTTCTTTTGGGCAGTCGATTGAGGAACATTCAGATATCAGTGGAAATGCTGAAAATATTTTGACAATAGGTGAATATCAGGACATGATGGAAATAAAATGTTGGACTGTGCATATAGAGAGAATTTTAGAATCTAGACTATGATATGACCTAAGTAAAATTTCACTTGCTAAGAGTTCTCTTGACCAGTCTCTCAATCTGAAGTAAGAACAATCCAAGGAGTAAGACAGGAAGATACCTCAGGGATCAAAATAGATCGATCTTTTTTCTTCCTATATCATTAACGTTTTAGATAAGACTGCATTCTTTTAGCCCTTTAGAATTTTACTTGATGTGTCCATCACCTTCTTTTACAGAATAATTCTAACAGATTTGTTAGGTTTTCAAGCCCATAGATAATCTAAAATAACAGGAATTGCTGAAGAAGAAATGACACTCTTCTAGAAAGAAAGAAACTACCCCCCCAAAAAATACCCAAAAGTAAAAATTCTAAAAGTACAGCAATATAGTAGCTTTACTGAAGGAATATATTTGATACACAGCCCAACAGCTACATCAGGAAACTCCTGAGATCATGCATGATTGATTGATCAATGAAGGAAGATTAAATTATACTTAAAATGTCAAAATTATAAAATTTGATATTTAAACGGCATCTATTCTCTTATAAAATGTTCAATTTACTGATATGAAGCATATGAAATGAAGTCATATTTTGAAATACTTTGGTTTATATTTATTTTGATCTGTGAAATCTACAATGCTTCTGTAGTAATCACCTCCTGCCATAGCATTTCTTGAACATCCTCTGGGTACAGGGTGTAGTAGAAAAGGAAGGCCTATGATCCCTGGCTTCCAAGAGCTTGCCTTCTGAGAACACTGAGCCTGAAATGACAAGTCATCATCAGTTGTGTTTCAAACTATGGAAGAGTAATCTGGCCAGAGTACTATGTACTATATACTATAGAAGTCTTCTTAGGGGAGAGGTGACTATGAAATGAATTTAGGAAAAATGAGGAAGGACACATACCTATAACTATATTTTAAAACCATAAACATTACTGCTGTCTCTTCAGTTTACTGTTGAGTGAATATTCACCTTATTCTACAACAAACCAAATCTAGCATTATGTTGTTTAAAGCAGGTACAGCACATCCTCCACTACTAGGACCACTTGTGTAAAAGCAGAGAACAGTCATTTAAAATCTTGCCTAGGGCATTTCCATTTATTCTGTACTACCTACCTGCTGCCAGGCCATAGTCCTTGGCTGGTAAAAATGAGAAAATACTTTATTTTCACGTTTTGATTCTGTTATGTCCAGATGCTTGTGATGATCCACCAAGATACGAATCTATGATGCTCAAGGGTAATTCTAAAAACCTTTATCAGCCTGGGGACCAAATAGAATTTAAGTGTCGCCCAGGATATACGCCTATTATACCTCTTCTTCCTACCAGTGCTATTTGTCAGTCTAATAACACATGGACACCTCTCCAGGAGGCTTGTACAGGTAAGTAAACAGAACTTTTCTTTTTATTGCTCTAGAGATTTTCTCACATTTTAGGGTTCATATTTTACTATTACAATGATGATTTTCTCATTTGAATATAGATTTTAGATAGTAATTTTTTTTAAGGCTTTAAAAATCTCCAGGAAATCTTTTATTTGGCAGTTGGTTGTCTTGGTAAATGTGAATTTTAAGTTTTGCCTTTTAATAGTTAAAGAAAGAAAAAAGTTCCATGAATTTATATTAAGAACAATGTAGAATTTTGATTTCCATTCAAATTTGTTTTGAAATTGGTATAAAACAACAAATTTGAATTTTTTTCTTTTAGGAAAATTATGTTCACAGCTAGGAGAACCTGTAAATGGCCAAGTAGTCTATGTAAATGGAAGTTACAAGTTTGGTTCACAGGCTCATTATTCTTGTAATGAGGGGTAAGTAAGTCGCTCCTTAGAGGAATAAGGTAAATGTTAACAACTTCTATTTTTGTTTTGTTTCTCTTCTTAAGCATTCTCATAATGTTGATTTCACCTCCCTTTCTCTATGACATCTTGTACTTATAGCCTATCAACTCTTGAGCTTTTCATGGAGACTAAAAAGATACGTAATGAATAGAAAGAAATTTAAATTAAAAGAAAATAGAATTGTATAATATGAAATGTGATAACAAGCCTAGTGTAAACATTACAAATGTAGTAATCATGGTGAATTCATCTCTAACAACAGAATGCACCCTATTAAAATGGCCAACTCTCAGGGTTGAAGGAGGGCTTACAGAAGTGGGAGGTAGAATTGCCAGTCAAAGATGATCTTATATCGAGGTATCTCTGTCAGGTGTTATCTGGTTAGCCTTTGCCTTAATGTGGATCAAGACATCTTAGTTGGAAAGCCTTATTTTTGAGATTTCTACAAAGGAGTAAAGCACCTCAAAAAGAGGTACTGAGCACTTAATAGTAGCCTTTTTCCGATAGAGCTCTTTTAATATTATATATTCAGGATATTGAGAATTTATGACAAATGTGCATTTTGAGGGTAAATGTAAAACAGTATAAAAAAGCAACTGATTTCTTATATTAACTTTGTATCCTGCTACTTTACTGAATTCATTTGTTAGTTCTGTCAGTTGTGTGTGTGTGTGTGTGTGTGTGTGTAATCCTTAATTTTTTACATATTTAATTCTTCCCAACAAATTTAGATGCTCTTATTTCTATTATTTGTCTAATTGCTCTAGTTAGAATTTCAGTACTATGTTGAATACAAGTGGTAAAAGCAGGCATCCTTTCATTGTTCCTGACTTAGAGGAAAAGCTTTTAGCTTTTCACCATGGAGTATGATGCTCGCTGTGGGTTTTTCACGTATGGTGTTTACTATCTTAAAGTAGTTTCCTTCTGTTCTAGTTTGTTGAGTATTATTAAAGACTGTTGAGTTTTGTCAAATTCTTTTTCTGTATCAATTGAGATGATCATGTATGTTTTGTTTTGTTTTTTGCTACATTCTGTCCCTGTGGCATATTACATTGATCACTTTTTGTATGTTGAGTTTTCCTGTGGCATATTACGTTGACCACTTTTTGTATGTTGAGTTTCCCTTGCACTCCAGAAATAAATATATCTTGGTCATGGTATATAATC